TTGTATTAAAATATCTCAAATCATGATATGGAATTCCCATATAATTCCATATCATGGTTTTTGGAGAATATGGAATCATATCTCATGATATGGAATAATGAGATGTAATCAGCGTAAAATCGCATGTCCAAACACTGATTTCATCTCACGATACCATATCGTGATATGGTATCACATGGCCAAACGCGTACTAAATATTTATATTTTTCATTTGGCGGAATGACTTGGGAGACCCTTGTAATTGGCTCCGTTTGTCACCTGGACCCTTCTAGTCACGATATTGCCAATTGAACACTTAAAGTTATTAAAACACAGTATTTTAAACCCCTCTGATCATGTGTGTCTCCCAATCGCGCTGATGTAGATAACACCTCACTATCCACATCAGAAATATATTGCCACATCATTTTCTTAATTACAAATAATATTTTTTTAAAAGAAATCTCAAACTAATCTCCAAAATACTTTCTTTCTTAATTTCTTTCCATTTTTTCCCTCTTCCCATATTTTTCATCTATTGTGCTACTAATCATTCATTATTTTTCTTTCCTAGTGATTTTTTTACGTTGAAGAGGAATTAGATATAAGCAAAGCTTTGCTATGCTTTTGATTATAAATTTTGCTATTTTAATGGTGGTGAGAAATAAAATGACTCAAATGGAGGATGAGAGAAAGAAGAGAAGCAGACAAAAAATGGGTCAATATAGAAAACTTTTCAAAAATGCTCTCAATAAAATTGCCTTACATTTAGAAATAATCTCAAACATGTCTTTCAAAAACCCATCTAAAATCCGCATCTATTTAACAATTTAGAACCTCTTTTTTCCCCTCTCTTTTACCCAAATCTAATTAAATATCTTTTTTCCGATCATTATAGAACTCTCAAATGATAGGTAGCATATGAGAAGAGAAAGAGGAAGAAATTGTGGGTAAGAGTATTTGAAGAGATTGAAGAAGATGTGTGTGTGGTGATGGTGGGGGTTGGGTGAAATTATGAGGAGGAAGAAGAAGAAACGTACATCATATTGGGAAAGGTTTTTTTTTTTTTTAATTGTTATATTTTTAATTCTTTTTTTAAAAAAATTAAATAATTGTCTTCACTTGCTTTTAAACGTGTGTAACCACTCTCTTGATCTGATTCAGCAAAAAAACACCACATAAGCTTAGTCAATGATCAAAATAATTTAAAATGGTGTGTTTTAATAACTTTAAGTGTTCAGTTGGCAAAGTCGTGAGTAGAAGGATCTAGGTGACAAACGAAATCAATTATAAGGGTCTTTCAGGACATTCCGTCTTTTTCATTATACCAACTAACTTGATTCGAAAGGTCAGAAATCAACAAAAATAAGTGGACCTAGCGGCTAGCTTTTGAATCATGACTAAAACTTCGGTACACCGCTTTCCACCATTAGAAGCCTACTCTTCAAGTAAACAAATTTAACCCAGGTACATTTCGCAGTAATAGTTGTACATTCCAGGAATAACAACTAACAACTACCTGACTTGACTCCAATTTCATTGCGTTTATGGATCTTCTCCGTTACTCCGCCTCCCGCTTCCCTGCAGCTCATCCTCAACTTCCCTTCCGTACGCCACTTGGCCGGCGGTTCGTCGCCGTTAGGTCTCCCACAGCCGACACTTCTCTGCATATCTTTTTTTTCTTCAGTTATTGAATTCATATATTCGACCTCAATTAGTTTGAGACTGAGACACAAATTGATTGATATATGAGTGTGCTTTTTCTTCTTCCAGGTCGAGTTTGAGCCTTCCGTTCGCGGAGCAGAAAGGCAAGTATTATAGCGAGCTCGAAGCTGCTGTTGATGTTGTCGAACGAGCTTGTCGTCTCTGCGTTGATGTAGTTTCTCCAGTCATTTTGATTAATTAGCTAATTACTCCTTCACTTCCATTTTATATGACAGTATTTGAGTAGATACAAAATTATTAACAAAGTTATTTTGAAGTAGAATAGTTGAAGGATGTTAAGACTTAAACACAAATTCAGAATTTAGTTTGACTTATTTACTGTAGTAGTGATAGTAGAAGAGAATATTGAAGTTATGCAAAGATGATTCTCTCAAAGTTGTATGGAAATGGATTTGTATCAAACGTTTTAGAAGGTATCAAATACAAATTGGGACTGGTAGTTCTCAGTTTTCTGTTGCCTTAATTTGGCAACTACTGTTGGAGCTAATCAACCAAAAATAGTTTGAGTTTCAAAGCTACTTTTTCGTTCCACAGTCTTTAGAGAGAGTCTTTTGAGTTCAATTGAAAGATATGATGAATTTTAGACTAAAGTTCTTGGAATTGGTTACAATGTGGATTCAAAAAGGCATTGCTTACTGCTTTCTGCTATTCAATATGCATGCAGGTTTTCCTATCATATAAGTAGTTTCATAGCCAATGCACATTGCTAAACTAATACTATCTTGTTCTGAGGTACTTAAAATTAAAGACTTTTGAAACAAGTTGTCTGCACCTCATCTCAAACAAGGCACACTAGTCACTTAGTTTAGGTGAAACTTGCTTTACTTCTCTATACATCTGACTCATGAAGTGGTTGAGTTTAAATATAAGCATTTCTCCAATAGTCATCTTTTTTCTTATTTTCAGTAGTCCATATGTCAAGTAGTGCAACCATTTTATCCACTAAGAATGGTGATCTCTTTATGATTTCTAGGTGAAGAAGTCACTGTTCTCAAGTGATGGTAGGATTCTTGAGAAAAATGACCAGACCCCAGTCACCATTGCAGATTTTGGAGTGCAGGCTTTAGTTAGCTTGGGTAAATTATGCTGTATGTTCCTTTTTATTTACTGAGTGCAGTTTCAGCTATCTAGTACATCCCCATCACTCAAAAAAGAAGAAGAAGTGATATTCATGGAAGTATTATGATTAGGTTATGAGTATAATTTTTGAAGAATGATGATTCAGAATGTAGTTTTTAACAATACTGAAAATTATGGATATGATTTTTTGTGCTTAAAATTTTCTTCTTTGTTTTAAAAAGACAAATTGCCTGATCAAGTTTCTTCTTGGAGCTAAGATGAATTGTTTCTTGACTGGATTACATCCTTATTCTGATAGAGATGAACAGACTTTTTCCCTCCATCCCTCTGGTGGCTGAAGAGGACTCTGCATTCTTGCGTTCAAATAATCTGGTTGGCTCAGTGGTTGATGTTGTAAAGGATAAAGCAACTTTAGGAGATGAAGTAACAGAAGATAATATTTTGAAAGCAGTTGATAGAGGGGGAAAGGATGCTTATGTATTTGCGCCCGAGCCAGCCACTTACTGGGTGAGTTTCATGCTGCTTCCAAAGATATTTGCTAAGTTCATGTGATAAGAGATTAAAGTACTCCAAAGGCTTCAAACTAAGGGAAAGTTTCTGAAGGGAACTAGAATTCCTTAATTCATGTTGTGTTTGCTCTTTCACATTTTGTTTGAAAAACACATTCGTCTAGTTGATGATCATTTGTCCAATTTTATGTTGAATACAAAGTTTCATAGTTCTGGAGAATTCCAAAATTTGATTATCTTTCTAGAATTTTGGCTAATTTAGAATTGTGTCATTAATATCTCCTGGGAAACATTTCAAAAGGTTATCGAACAGGTTGTGGTAGGTGGGGGGTTGGATGGATGGTAGAATATATGATAACAGTTTCCTGCCCCTCGGACAACCTTCTTTTCGTTGAAAAGTCTTCCTTTGTACATTGACTTTTACTAGACCAAGGCTAATATTTTAAAGCCCTCCGCACTTCTATCAATATGACATCAGGAAATACTTCCTTGTCTGTCTTTACTCTGTATGATTTTTGTGATTAAAATAAATCAACTTTTATCGTCCATGCCCTGAACAGCTGACAAAAAGGCATGTTTGTAGTTTATACTTGCATAGTTATTTGGGCTGTACTCATAAATTTCCAACCTCGTACAGATTCTGGATCCTATTGATGGTACACGAGGGTTTGTTAAAGGTAGTGAGGCTCTCTATGTGGTATGCTTCTCAATCCTTTTCCTTTCTGTTTAATGTAATTAGTCTTATATGCTTTGTTTCTTTTTTAATTTTCCAAATAATTTAAGGAAAGAGCAAGAATGAGAGGAACTGGAAAAGAAAAAACTATTTTAACATTTTGAGGTTGTTTTCCAGGGAACTGGCCAAGGTAGAGGGTAATTAGTTTGAGGGGTCACGTCAAACTCACTCTCTTCATCTGCCCATTGTGCCAGTTAGTTCCCACTGGGAACTGGGAATGTAGGTGCTCAATGGCAGAGCCATATAGGGCCAAGAGTGATCAACTGAATACCCATTGTCAGAAAATTACATTATGCATATGTGAATTATATATATTGAAAGAGAAACCTTAGGTTTGGAATTGTACCGGAGATTGTGATGCTGTTAAACTAAAGGCCTCAGTGGTGGCAAAATTAAACTCATCTGTCCTAAACGTCTTTGTTTCTTTCTATTTCGCCTCAATAAAGTGCAGTCTGTTTCAATAAAGTGCAGTCATGTTTATTTTGTTTTGATGCAGCTCTTCATTTTCCTTGTAACTTTGCATCTCCTTGATGCTTTTCTTATACAATTTAATTACATCACCAAAAAGAGTGCAGTCTGATTCACTTATCATGAAGTAATTAACATTTCTGCAAATACGAGAGCTGATAACTAAACTGATGACATCATATACATTATTACAGTAGGTTGCCTGGATTAGAGTTGTGTCTTTTTCACCTTTCCCATGCTTATTTGGCCAAGATTATTGTATCTTTTCAGGTTGGTTTGGCACTTGTAGTTGAAGGAAAGATTGTCTTAGGAGTCATGGGCTGCCCCAATTGGCACGAAGACTGTTCTGACAATTCTATCATTGGGGTCCAAGAAAATCAAAGTTCCAGATCAGGGATCATCATGGTTTCTCATGTGGGTTGTGGAACATGGACAAAGAGGTTGTCAGACATACTAACCAATGAGTCACCTCACACTTGGACCAGATGCTCTGTTGACAGCTGCCAAATGGTGCAGGGGGCACGCGTTACTATTCCTGAAAGTCAAACATGGAAATCTTTACCCTTGTCAGGTTTATTTGATGCAAAAAAAGACTCTGAGAACATAGGAGAAGGGAACATACTTCTTCTGTCTGCATGCTGTGGGAGGTGAATCATTCTTCTCAAAAACAAATTTCATATTCTTAACATATGTGAACCTAGATAAAGAAAGGATACGTAGATTTCTGATGTGAAAAGAAAGGATGCTTAGATTTGTGGTGTGAAATCTTTCTTTCCTGCTGTTTGCAGTCGTGGAAGTTTTTACCTCTATAGGGCTCCGATTTGGTTGATAAAATTCAATACAGAGGGGTTGATGATGAAATAAAAAATAAATGGGATACAATGATTTCCTTTGCAAATTGGACCTAGATAAAGATTGGGCTGGGGAAAGGTTGAGGTGATTTTTCAATCAAGAGCATCTTTAATAGAATTTATCAATCAAGAGCATTTTTAATTAGAATCATCGCCTCAAGTGAACTTATAATCCATGGCACTAGGATTTATTTTGTTTTATTTTTTTAAATAGAAATTAAAAAAAAATTCCTTAGAAGGTACATAAATAAGTTAACTACTGCAGCCCTTTGCTTGTACATTTCGGCATCTGCTGGATGCAGTATTAATGAAATCTCAATTTACTTGATAAAATAAGTCAATTACTACAAATTTGCTTTAACTTTAATCATCTCGTTGAAGATGATATTTGTTCTTTTATATAGAATTTAAGTTTACTTTCTGAGAAAGAGAAAATGTTGAGCAGTACTGCACTATCATGGATCTTAGACATCAAAATACACTTTGGACTACCTTATTTAGTTGTGCAGTGTACCAAGTGTTGATTAAGCGTTTCTCAGTCCACCAAGATAGAAAGAAAAAATGTGGGTGAAGTCTTCCTTCAAGCTCATAGCCTTATCTTTCCCTATGGTCTTTTTATTTTAATGATTCAGGATCTTTTCATTTGTTCCAGCAAATATTAGCTTGCTTTATCTTTTAAGTTGCTTCACTTGTTCTAGGGATGCAAGCTTGCTTTCTCTTCTAAGTAATTGCAGTTGTTCTAGGAATGCCTTTAATATGATGCCCAACAACTCTTTTCTTACAGTAGGCTAAGCTGGTAAAACTTTTTGGTGCCTGTCTTTCTTGAGTTGAATGGCACTCAATATATACATATTTTGTAAACTGCAGGTCATGGTCTTGTAGTTACTGAGAAAGTATGTTCATTGCGTCTTGATGATGTGCGATTCAGCAACATAAAGTTTTCTGCAGACTTTGTGCATTATTGGAATGTCATTCAGTACCTTAAAAAATTAAAGCTGCTTGTGGTTGCATAACCTCTTATATTGTCTTCATTTCCCCCCTTTTATTTGACTCGAACAAATATAGCATGTGCTGTTGTTAGGTCTGAAAGCATACAAATCTGCGGTTCTTCTTAGTTTGTACATATACTAATCCCGCACCATTCTCTTATACATGTTTAGAATTCTACTAGAGTATTTGTCATTTTCCCTTTATATGTTTAGAATTTGATTAGTCATTGTAACATCACAAACCTCTTCTCCAAATGAAACTAGCTCTATAATAAATTTTGGCGTCCAAGTTGGAATTTGGACTGGCACTCGGCAACAATTGTCAACTTAATGGAGAAGAGGCTTATCATTCACATCCAGAAGAGATTGAATGCTCTATTTTAATACTCTAGGAAACAGAGTGCCCTCAGAACCATTCTTTAAGTGATTATAAAATTCATTTCCCTTTTAGCCTGAACAGCTGAATTGTAATTACTTTTGTATTGTCTTCTTTCTTCTTCTTTTGAGGGCTGCAATCAAAGTACTATTTCAATTTTCATGATGGTTTTTGCACATTTGTTTTATTCAATTTTTGTTTCTAAATTTACAGTTTGTGCAAATATCTGATGGTGGCTTCTGGTAGAGCATCGGTTTACATTCAGGGGAAGAAGGCGACATCTATTATCAAGGTGATAGTATATTCTCGAGAAATTATAAAATTAGTAGAGCAGTATGATGCTCATATCTGTTGAATGTAGGTCTGGGACCACGCTGTTGGAATCATATGTGTCCATGAAGCTGGAGGGAAGGTATGCATGCATTTCTCTGTTGGTTTCTTTTTTGACATACCTTCTATATCTTTACTTGCCCGCCAACAGTTGCCATCTTACAGCCAGTTCTAAGAGAAGTCGGTGCTGCTGATATATCATTTATCTAATTATACAAACAGTTGTCAACTATATTGCATGTAATCAACACGCTTTTCATTTTTTTCTTTAATAAAAAGAATTAAGTCATGTAAAGTACACCCTCTGGTATTGCAGATTTGAAGATGTACATTTTATCTTTTCCTTTTTAGTCTGGATATAGTATTTTGAAGGCTTATCATCACTGCTTTAAAGGAAATTTTAAAAAAATGAGAACTGGTCAAATTCTGGAGGTTGACTCTCTTGCTTGACTGATTCATGCTTTGATTGGCTTGCCTTGAAAAATTATATTATCTGAAGCATTGAGTGAGGGTCCTAAATAGTGATTCATGGAACTTAAAATTCCATGTTAGAAGACACAAACTTTATTTACTTATGAAGAATCACAAAGTGACAAGAGGCTCGTTTTATAGCTTTATTTCTTGTTACTTTAAATTCTTAAACTTTCTCGTATGTTTAACAAAAAATCAACCCATATTTGATTTGAAAGATCTGGGACACTGCAAGAGATAGCAGCAACGGGAGGAGAATGTGTTATCCTACATTACACCACCTACTGCTTTCCACTTATCTGCTTACTGAAAAGTTGTACACTACTTCATATCCAGGCATTTATATTTCCTGACGGCTGTCACTAAGCAAATGCATGAAGCAAAAGATCTTCTTTCCCTTACTCAATGCAGTATTCACTGGCATCAATTTTCTTTCTTATGTTCGATCTACATAATTGTTCTGCATATGACATTGTCCACTTGGACCCAAAGCAAAGGCCCACCTTATAAGAAGTTTTGTCTTTGATTCTACTCCTGGTTACGACTGACTTTATCCTATGTTCTACAACTTATGCACTATAGTAAATTGCATGTGGATGATTCATTCATAAAAGATAAGCAAGACTAGATTGCTCAATTCCTGGTTATTTACTGTGCACCTTACTTGTCAGGTGACTGACTGGGAAGGAAGTTCACTTGATTTTGCAGCAGATCAAACTGAACGGAGACTCATCTTTCCTTCAGGCGGTGTTCTTGTGACTAATGGGAGCTTACATAGCAAGATTATTGGAATGATCTCTTCAAATTCATCAGTTCTTTGACATTCTTTTTGGCATTATTGTGACAAATCAATAGTCAGACACTAATGAAGATTTCCGCCAATTCATCAATTGTTAATGACACTTGTATTCTTTTGACGAATCACAGCATATAGCAGTATACATATCAATGTCTCTCCGTTTTCTTCCTCCTCCTGGTCATCAGTACCTCTCTGTTGTTTCTCATCAATACTTGTATCTTTCCTCTTTCGGTCTAAATGGACGGATAATATACTGAAATGGTGTGGAGAATGATTCATGACTGCAGTCAGAATGTATAGCTTATAAATTTATATTCTCTTTTTGTTTCTTCCCTTCACAAAGTAGTCCGATGAAGTGAGGATATTTCTCTTTTCATCTGTACTGCAGTCAGAATCTATACTCATCCAAATAGTTTCATTTTCAGTGAAGAACTTTAACAAGTCTTCAATGTTCCAGGCGAAATTTCGCCATTCCAAGTTGAAACTTGTCGAGCTGTGTCAATTCTCCAGTCTTTCATTATTAACCTTTTAGCCGTGTTATTTTTAAATTTGATTTTAATCTTCCACCGTTTTCTAATTGGACAAAAGAAAACCCCGCACACATAAATTCCTAATCAAAACCAATGTTGGAAAACAGTGAATTTGGAACTTGATGTCCCCCTTTTGAAGTAGGAAATCCCACTTTTCTTAGGATTAGGATTTAAATCACAAGTATATATGCCTACGAAGTCTAAAAAATAACGACAATTCACATCTCTTTTCTCTTGACGTCAAAGCTTCATATATACTCCCTCCCCTTCACTCTATGGATAAATTAATGCAACTGTTTGGTTTCAGCGAAAGGGCGATACCACAAGTGGAAGTCTGTGATTGCTGCAAAAAGGTTCAACTACCACGATCCCTGCATCAACAAGTTACAAAAGGCAAGCAACAAGTCAACTTTTTTTGTGTAGGTAGGGCAAGAGAAATCGAAATTTGAGGTCACAAAAGAACACCTTAAAACTTTTTTATGAGTGTATGTTTTCTTTTCTTTTCCCTTTTGGATATTATGTAGAATTACCACTTCAGAATAATAAGGGATTATTTCTGTTTTATTCGATCCGTCTTCAAATCAAGATGTTATTAATTCAATCAAAATATAAGTTTTTTTTTTGGTTTCAAGATTAATCTCACTCAACTCTACGTCAATTTTTATTTTTCCTGTGATCAATCATACGAAAGCGATATTCGATCATAAAGTTTTTTCCTCACCCAGAGACAGAAATTGGTGAACTAGGAGGTGCATAGATATTATCGTAGTATATGCAATGTTGTCTTCCTTAAGATACCGACTTCATATTGTATTTTGTCCAGCAGTTCATAACAATGAGTTATGAGATTTGTAAGTTATTTTGGATATGGAAACTTGCTAAAGGGCATAGATTTGAATTTCAAGGTCTTACAAAACTGAAAACCTCCCCTTTGTAGCTATGCCAAGTAACAGTCGTTGGACATTGAGAATGTTAACACTAATTTGTATTATCAAATACCAAGAACATAATCTCTCATAACAACCAACTACCTAGATCAACAAGAGTGGTACTCTTTTTCCAGCCAAAGCTACAGATCTCGAATTGCATCAGACCGTGAGTCTACTACCTCTTTGCTTCCTAGCTAGGTATTTCCTCCTCTTTTATCTTCTACAATGCATATGTGGGACAAAACAGAATTGTGAAACATGATGTTGGGACAGAAGCAACTTACAAGGTTAGTTCCGTATCTTAAAATGGTTGCTCAACCATCCATTCCATATCTGACGTGTCATTCACCATTAATCTTTGCCTGCATCCTCCACATTTTTCTTGCGAGCCTCAACAGCAGCATCTGCCTCCGGTGACTGGAGTTTCAGTTTTTCAAAATCCTTCACGAAATAAAATGGATAACACTTCAAATAGCGTTTTGTCAACCTTATTTCTCACCCTGCAGTCCTTATATAAAGGATGCACTTCCATATGTGTAAGGTACAAGCTAATTAAAAGATGGCATCATAATTTAAATGCTTGTTTATATATTATAATAATATCTGCTTACTGGGTTAGGATTTCCCTATCGAGAAAGATAACCGACAGTATTTGCTCTATAGCTACTTGATTCTTTAGTCCATCAAACCATGTAGAACAGTGCAAGGACTGAGTAACGTTAACAGCTTTTCCCTCAAAACTTATGTTGTTCACAATATAATTGAAAAATACATTGGTGGATTCCTAGCAGAAGCAAAGAAAAAAAATTCACCAGGAAAATTTTTCTCATCTTACTTGAGCCTTGGAGGCAAGAGTTACTTGGTACATGTGTTGGTGGAATAATATAGGTGTGTACAAGCTGGCCAGACACCATCTCATTAAAAAGAAAAACACTGTGAAGGTACCAGACAATGGTAACATAATATACTAACCAGTTCAGATACATATCCACTGGTCCTTTCACCTTGAGGCCCATAATTTTGAGCTTCACTTTAGCTCACTCTTTTGATCCTTTGGTTTTTCATTTGTATCTGGATGCTCTGCAAATTTGATTACTATGACATTGACTAAAGAAAATCTGAACAAAATACTTGCATGACACAATTACTCCGGTACAAATAGACAATTACAACTTGAAAGAGAGGGACATAAACTAAGAGTGAAGAACATTACCAGCAGCTATCACCAGTGAGGACTCATGAAGCAGTTCTTGGTCCAGTTGTTTGGACCTAATGCACTGCAGTTGACAGCAACTAGTCAGCAACCATGTATACACGTTAATGTGTGTATACACGTCAATACATATTCTCAAAAGAGTTTCAAGCCAGAGTGACACTAAAAGAAAGAGGAGCTAGAAGAGAGCGAGGTTGCCAAAGCGGAAGAGAGACATGAAATCATGGTAATTTTGGCAAACCTTGAAGCCTACTTGAGACCTTTTTTATATAGCCAAGAAATACCCAGGGGCCGCGGCGTATGGTTCAAACCTTGGTGTTTGGTGGACAATGGACCTGCCCCTCTACTCTTCTACACTTATTTTTTTTTTTTTTGATGACAAGGGAAACCCGCAGCCACTACCCTTTGGGTGCGCACTGGGTAAAACCCCCGCTCCTATGCAATAGCTCGCAAACCACATAGGAGAGGTAACCCGCACTAGGCAAGTCTGGTGCGACGAGCTCGACCCAGAAGGCAAACCCCTTGCTTTTGCTGGCAAGGGGTTTCAAACTTGAGACCTCCAACATGGAAGTCCCAAGCCCAAACCATTGGGCCACCCCGAAGGGTTACTCTTCTACACTTAAATACTAGGCTTTTGTCTGCCGTGGATTCAAACTCCTTATGTGCAACTAATCCACACATTTCGATACTGCGCTCTTACCACTAGACCAAGAGCGAGAAGTGCATACAACCTTATTGATCACTAGGGATATGTTTACACATGGTCTGAGCAAACCAGTCATCCTTTGGCGACTGCAAAAGAAGGAAGCTTACATACTCCAGAGGTTTAAACTTCTAATAATATGCAAACATCGACATAGAAGTATATATGCTTCATAGTTTTATAACTAACGAATGTAGAGTACTGGTGAGTTTATCGAGAAGATAGCATTAGCATGAGGTTCTTTTTATATTTTTACAGATCAGAGTAACACCTAATTATAATTGTGCTTCCTGACGGGGAAAATGGTACGCTTAATCATAGCAATTAAATCAGTAGCTTTGTCAGATCTGAGAAAATAGGCACTGAAATATATCATAGGGAACTTTTGATAATTGAAAAGTGATGAATATTACGGATTTTGGTTAAATTGACTTTTGAACCAAGGCAATAATCATTATGATAATCAAGATAAAGTGTTAATACCTCTATTGATAAAGGTATCCAGAGCATCAATCTCAAACACTGGAAGTTTACTATGTCGTCTCAACCTTCAATAGTTCCAATTACCAGAAATCATTGCAGGAACATTGACCATCTGCAAAATGATGAAACCTGTATGCATCCCGTACAATAATGGCTCGATCTGCAACCTTCGACACACACTTTATCCAATTGTGGCAGTCATTGCAGACGCGAAGATTCTTCATCACTCGTATGGGAATCATTTCAGGCAAGCTTAGAAGTCCAAATGCAATAGCTAACTTTTCACTGTGAATATAAGCAGTTGGATCTTTTTGTCCCAACTCCAGATCATTCCAAAGACTATTATTGTCTTGAACATAACCAATCATAACTACCCGTTTATTTAGTTCCTCCACAAAGTCATAGATATGATTTGCTAGTGGATGGAGTCTATCCCCAACAAAAAATGCATGGATAGTGTTTTTAACTTCAATCCAGCTACGACCTGGCTCTTTTTTAACACCTCTATCTTTCATCAGTAGCCTTGTCTGGTTCCGAGAGTCCCATCTTCCAAGAACTGCATATAGGTTTGATAATAAAACATAAGTTGCTGAGTCTTGAGGCTCCAATTCTAAGAGGCGGTGACCTGTCTCTTCCCCTATTTCAATGTTCTTGTGAACTATGCAAGCACTTAGGAGGGTCCTCCAAACCATTGCATCAGGTTCTACTGGCATTGTCTCCACAAACTTCATTGCACGCTGCAAATGGCCAGCTCGTCCTAAAATGTCTACAACAGATGCATAATGTTCTAGTTTTGGCATTAAACCATAATCCTTACTCATTGAATTGAAATAGCAAATTCCCTTATCCACTAAACCCACATGGCTACACGCTGATAAAACACCCAAATAAGTGACATGGTTTGGCTTCACACCAAGATGTCTCATCTCCTCAAACAGTTCTATAGCTTCATTGCCACATCCATGTTGAGAATAGCCTGTTATCATGGCATTCCATGAAACATCATTTTTATTTTGCATTTCAAGGAACTCTTTCCTGGCATCCACAAGGCTTCCGCACTTCGCATACAATGTGATCAGGATATTGGAAGCTTCTGTTTCGGCATTATAACCAGTCTTTATTATTCTAGCATGAGTCTGCTTCCCCTGTTTAATATTAGTGGTATTAGCAGCGGCACTAACAGCAGATCCATATGTGAACATGTTAGCCTCCACTCCATCTCCGTGCAATCTAGAAAATACTTTTAATGCTTCTTCACAAAATCCACTTTGGGCGAATCCTGATACCAAGCCATTCCACGAAATAATATCTTTTGTATCAATTTTGTCAAATGCCGCATAGGCATCTTGTATTTTGCCGCATCTCGCATAAAGAAAAATCAGCGCATTGCCTAATGAATGATCTAATGAGTAGCCTGACATCACTGACTGTGCATGGATTTGTCTCCCTTGATAGAGTGCTTGAATGCCGGCACATGCGCTGATTGCACTTGCAAATCCTATGTTATCAGATCGAATACCATGGTCTTGCATTTTTCTAAAAAGTTTAAGAGCTTCAACAAAGAAGTCATGCTGAGCATATCCAGCTATCATAGATGTCCAAGATACAACATCTTCCTCATTCAGACGCCAAAAGATTTTCTCTGCTGCATCCAATTTTTCATGCTTTGCATACATATCTATAAGCACACTACACACATAAACATTCTGCCAAAAGCCAGTTTTCAATACTTGGCTATGTATTTGTTCTCCAAGATACAGAGCGCCAACAGATGTACAAGTTCTCAATATACTGGGGTATGTGTATTGATTAGGTTGTAACCCTTTAAACTGCATCAGTGAAAAGATTTTGAATGATTCATCCAAATCACCCATCTGCCCATAACCCACGAGCATCACATTCCAAAGAACAATGTTTTCCATCTGGCTTCCGAGGAAAAAATTATGGGCTGTTTCAATGTCAGAGCACTTAACATAAAGGTCAAGTAAAGAACCTTCAATAATGCTATCTGAGCATAGACCTGCCTTTGTTGCATAAGAATGCAGTTGTCTTCCCTTCTGAAGAGCTCCTAATGATGCACAAGCACCCAAGAGGCTTGCAATTGTAACACAGTCAGGTTTTAATGAACTTAACTGCATTTTCTCGAATAACTGTAGAGCCTTATCACTGAATCCTTTCAAAGAGAGACCAGAGATTAGGGAATTATAGGTAACTCCATCCTTATGTGGCATTTCAACAAATACTTTTTCTGCCAATGTTAAGTATCCACAGCGAGAATACAATGTAACAAGGGCATTACTAACAAAAACATTAGATAAAAATCCCCACTTATAGATGCTAGAATGGAGCTGTCCCCCCAAATTAAATGCTTCCATCTTTGTGGATGCACTAATAACACTCGAGAAAACATATGGAGTCGGAATAACTCCAAATGTACGCATTTCCTTATATAGGAGAATAGCATCCTCTTCTCGGTTGTTCTTACAAAAACCAGATAACATGGCAACCCAAGACGAACTATCCCTTACCATCATATCCTCAAAGACTAGCTTAGCAGAATCTACAAATCCATTTTTAGAATACAAATCAATCAAACGGTTAGAAACAATGAGCTGCAAGCCAAGACCATAGCGTGTAACCAAAGCATGAATCTGTTCAACACCCCGGAAACGAAATGCAGCCTTGTTATCACTGCAAGCTTGCAGAACTTCAGAAAATGTGCACTCATCTGGATTAACATCTTCTCTTATCATTTGGGAAAACAAATTGAAAACTTCATCATTTCTTTTTATCCGTGAAAAACCAGACAGTAATTTATTCCAGCAAGACACATTTCTAATTCCTATTGGCAAATTATCAAATATTTGCAATGCACTCGATAAATCTCCACCAGCAACATAAATATCAAGAAACCTAGCACCAATCCTATAGTCATCGCCAAATCCCAATGTCAACAACTTCCCTTGTAGTTTCTTGGCATCTACAATTGACCCTTCACTCAAGCAACAATCTAGTAGGCTTAGATAATAAGTATGATCAAAATACCCATTATCTTTCACTAACCGCTGATGAACAATAGATGGATAATATTCATTTTCTTCATCTGAACAATCATCAAGAACCAGTGAATTTATACTTGCACAACTAGTAAAACTACAGTTCTTCAATCTAATTGGTTTACCATATTGAAAACTCCAAATTTCCTGCAAATTAGAAAAGAAAAGAAAAATATTTGGGAACCGAAAAAGTATCTAAGAACACAACAAAACAAAAAAATGTTAAAGAAAGAATTTTTCTTTAAAGGTTTTACCTTGCGAAGACAATCAGAAGACTTGAAAAGGGATTGAATAATTTTCATCATCTATTTTGTTCTCTTCTGGGTTTCCACTAAATTCATCTTTTGTAAACCTAATTGAGCTCCAATTTTGTTTTCTCCTCTTCTTTGTGGTGCCTGAGCAAGGTTTTAAACAACTTTTTTTTTTCTTCAACAATTTATAAGATAGAACAATCCTTAATCGAAATACACCTTCAAATTACAAACTAAATTTTAAAAAATAATATCAAGTTGTAAGTTCAAGCTCAAGCAACAGTTGAAGAAACAAATAGCAGGCAATGTAATCTGAAAACCTCATTATTTGCGAGTTATAAATCCACAAAGAAAAGACACTTCGAAAAAATTGAAATAGTTTCTACTACATATTATGGGTTAGAAAATGTATTTTCTATATTTAAAACTTCAGTTAAAAACGTTTCTTTTTCCTAATAGATGAGTATATAAAATATTGAGTAAATTTTAGCTTTAACAAACATAAAAATTATATTTGGATCCTTATAGTTTGTATAATTGTGCTTTATAGCAAATTTTATGTATGCTATTAAGCATCATATTTATATAAATTGCTGGCAGACTTTTTGTTTGTATAAAAGTGCAGCGATTGTATATGTATATCGATTAAATAATTATATATATGTAACTACTATGTATATGTATCAATGATTGTGTTTGTATATCTGCATAAAATTTGAATTTGTATACAATTGAATCGAAATAAAACATTTGTATATCAAATCTCTCTCCTTCGCTTTATACAACACAAATTATACATTGTAATTTGTATAATTTGTGTTTGTATAAAGCGAGAAAGAGAAAAAGGCAAAAGAGAACTGGTAGGGGAGGATCTGTATTTGTACAATTATAAGTGTATATGCCGAAAATATATGTATTTGTATTTGTATATACAGTTTTCTCTCGCTTTATACAAACACAAACGCAATATATACATTTGTGTTTGTATAAAGCGAGAGAGACGAGTGAGAGTGGCGAGCAAGATTCTCTGAAGAGAGAGGCGAATGACAAGTGTTTACTACGGATTACAATTAAATGAAACTGTAGTTATAACACTTAATTTGAATTAATAGTGTATTTTTTTATACAATTTTCTCTAAAATGTTTTTAATAAAATAAGAAGAAAAAGATATAACTTGGGCTGAGCACGTGCGAAGAACACGTGAGAGTCTCTGCCAATTTCAATCGTCGGAACTCCATCCATTGCATTATAAACCATGTACCTTTCGCAGTAATTATTGTACCTCGATGGATCTCCTCCGGTGCTCCGCCGTCCGGTTTCCTAGAACTCATCTCCGACGTCCATCCCGTACGGAAATTCGCCCATGCTTCGCCGCCATGAGGTCTCTCACAGCTGATTACTCTCCGCGCCGCTGCTAAAAATTCACTTTCCTTAACCGATTCTAAATTTTCACTCTTTCTGCGCTTGCAGGTCGAGTTTGAGTTTTCCGTTCCCGGAGCATAAATCCAAGTATTATAGAGAATTGGAAGCTGCTGTTGATGTTGTCGAGCGAGCTTGCCGTCTCTGCGTTCATGTAAATTTCTTTTATTTAGCTCACTACTTATATCGATTACTTATTATTGAAATGGAATGGAATGAGTTCGAGTAGAAGGAATCCTTACAAAGGCTGCATACAGTGTGTTTGGTTGATTGATTGTGTTAACTTATTATTTGAGGTGCATTTGGTTAATTACTGTTAGTCAATTTAGTGTATTATCCGAAAAGAATAAGTTTTTCTTTCAATTGACGAACATCTGCTAATGTTATTGTAATTCCATAGAGCACATATGTGGAAAGACTGGTTGGATTTGTAATAAGTAACTTCCTCTCTGCTATGTATAATTTGATTTAGTACATGGAATTTTTGGTATGTGAAGTGCTCTACAGTGTACTCAATGTTTAAGATCATAGATTTTGGAGACAAAAGATATTAGCTTTTCTAAGAGATGATATTAGTCATTTAGTTCTGGTGAAATGTTGCTATAACTAGTATGTATCAAACTAGCCTTCTTCTTGGGGGGGGGGGGGGGGGGGGGGGGGGGGG